TTAATTTATGATGTCATGGATAAAGATTGTTGAATAATGATGTGGCGTGATTCTATAGGTTTTTGAATGATGATGTGGCGTGATACTGGTGTAAAAAAAGGGTACACGTGGCACATAGACAATTTTAAAAATGTCTTTTAATATATAGTGCAGATAGTTAAACAATGCAAATAAGGTTTTCAAACAAAATTAGTTTCTTAAATACATCAGTTTATATATAGGATTAAATAAATCAAATTGAATAACGCATTTATGTGATTGATAATTATTGAAATATAATCCATTATTATGTACACCCGTGTTTACTACTTACCTACGTTTTTTTTTTTTTTAGTTGACAGTATTTCTTTTTAGAAAGTATATTTTTAGTTGACATGTTTCCTTTTTGGGTAAATTATATACTTTGCATAAACTAGTGTGCCCCACTTATTTTATCATTTTCTTTCATTCTCTTTCCTCCCTATAATATGTGTGTCTAAATTAAATACATCAACTAAATAGAAATGGAGGAAGTATATAATACACATCACCTTGCACAAATTTTCTTATTTGTGTGGAACTATCTCAAACATGCAATTAGATAATAAATATTATCCGATAATTTATTATGTGTGGTATATCGAGAAGTATAACAGATATTTTAGAGAACGCTAAAGTGATAAACCAACTCGGCAACTCCCAAGTGAGGATTAGACGGGTGTCATGTGCAAGATCAATGCAGTGTATTAATATACAATCATTCTTGGGATTTGTACGAGTGTACATGTTAATGTTTATTGAAAGTTCTTGTTGTGGTAGGACTTACCGACTTAGGAGTAGGACGAAGTAGGACTATTAATCATAAATGTTACGGAGTATCACCTTGTTTTAAATTTATTCATAAGAGAGTAATGAAATCCACTTGTCAATTAACAACATGCACGTAATAGTCACTTTCTCTTTTAAGGGGACATGACATTATCTTTGCGGTCTCTTCCTTGAGTGGGAAAAGGCCAAAGAGTCAATTTTCACCACAACTTCCAAAGAAAATATGGATATAATATTACAAAGATAATAATGATACCAATTATATTGGTGTATATAATACTTGTATGTTGTATACTTGTTTGCCAATTTTACCATCATTCGTCCCAAAGTTTTATTTAGGTAAGATTATTATATAATTATGTGAAAATTAAGTGATAGTATGCACCCCTCGAAGTGTATACGAGACAAATAATAATAATTTTCTGACAATATCTATTTAAATTAAATATTATTAAGACTAGTTAAAAAAAAAAAAAAAATTAGATTATGATAAGTTTTTATAAAGTTAAATTCAATTTATAATTTAAAGATAACTTCAAGTATACTCATGAAAGTGGAAATAAGTTCTGATAATATAATTTTGATAAGTAAAAAATAAGGTGAATAGACACAATTTATATTTCTCTTTTATAAACACTACTAAATCTAACTACATACGAGTAGTTTGTACATTTAGGTGTGTTGTATTTCCTAATTTTCACTTATTTGAAATTATCTGAACTTATTAAAACTTATTTTAGTTGTAATTTGAACTTGAACAATCTTTAAAAGAACTTATTTTTCCTAAACTGAATTTATATTAACTTAACTTGACTTATTAAACCTGAAATAAGTGAAAATAAGGTACCTGAAATAAGTGAAAATAAGGTGAATAGAACAAACCCTTATTTTGTGAATATTTATTTTCTTACTTCTCTGTAATTTGTAATTTGTAATTCTTCGATTTGTTTAATAAGTTTATTAAGCATATGTTCTCAATGTGTGGGAGGTTGGAGAATTATTGTTTACGGATTAAGGCCCCGTTCACTTCACCTTATTTTTGCTTTATTGAAATTATTTTTACTGAACTGAAATTATTTTTTTACTGATTTCTATTATATTTCTTCTTTACAGTTACTAATTTTTACTGAAGTGAAATTATTTTTGCTAAATAAAAATTATTTTTACCAAATATTATTATTTTAAAGTGAAGTGCACATGGCCTAATTCATATGCATCTCTCTCGTGCATAATTCTCATAAAAATGTCATAATATTCTTTCATTAAAAAATAATGTAATTCTTATCACTGGTGATAAACATAAGCATGCCTAATCTAATGGGAGCGTACTATTCCATGCGCGATTGGAAGCACCGCAGCACCATAACATTTGTGTTTAAGCTATTTGTGATTAGGTCTATTCACGGATAGGATATTCGATCCGAAATGTGATTTTGGATCGGATATTCGAATATTCGGATATCAGAAATTGATATCCAAATCTGATTTGAAAATTTCGGATATCCAAAATTTTCGGACCGTATGCTTCGAATATCCATTATCCAATATTAAGTAAAATTGTTTATGATTATTTTCTAAATTTCACTAATTTTGCCGTTTTTTTAACGTTAAGTTGTACAACATATTTTAACAAAATAGTAGTCCTTTTGCAATAAATATTATCATAAAATATATTAAGAATATTATAATAAGTTAATAATATAGGGCCAGTTTTATATATATTTCACTATTTTAGGCTTTATATTTCGGATATCGGATATTCGAAATTTTGAAAATCAATATTCAAATCCACATCTGATAATCGCCTTTTTTGGATCAGATATCCAAAAATTCGGATCAGTTGCGAACGAATTATCGGATTTTCGAATAATTTTTTACAGGCCCACTTGTAATCATTAGTCAATGGTTAATCAAGCTAGTCCTTTTAAACTGTTTGCCTAATTAGATGATGTGTGATATGAACCTTTTCCACCGTTTTTAGTCCCTATCAATCGCAAGACGCACTTTCTACTTTAAGTAGCAAACATTATCATCAATTTTCTTCAAATAGAATAACCATTAAAACAATCATTTATTTTATTTTTTAAAAAAAAAGACAATCATTTATTCCTACTATATTCTCGCCTTTAATCGTACACTACTCCATAGTTTACTAGTGCTTGGAAAAATGACATTCTCTCAAAGCATTAGAACCACCATACCCTAATCTTAATAAAGTTTAAGCAAACTCCTACTGATTTCTCGTCAAATTTCCAACGTTTCATCATCACTCTAGTCATCATTATCAATATCTTCTTGTAACTTCACCATATCATATAGAGAAAGTATTGGGTGCGGCAAGCCACACCAAACAATTCGTGCGTCAAGTATATATGATATGCAGTATTTGATACAAGATATGTATTATTTGATAGATGATATGTATAACTTGTTGGAGGATATGTATTATTTGATAGAGGATACGTACAGTTTGTTGTAGGGTATATATTGTTTGTTATAGTATATGTGGTATTTGATAGAGAATATGTACAATTTATCTTTGATAGAGGATACGTACAGTTTGCTAGAGGATATGATATAATATTTGGTGGAGGATATATGTTATTTGATAGAGGATACATACAGTTTATTAAAGAATATGTAGTATTTGATGGAGGATATGTAGTATTTGATAGAGGATATGTACAATTTGTTTGAGAATATGTGTTACTTAATAGAGGATACGTAAAGTTTGTTGGAGGATATATATTATTTAATAGAGGATATGTACAAAACTTGTTGCTTTTGTTTGTTGATTTCATCCTTTTGTTGGCTGATATGTTTCATTTGTTGGCTGATATGTTCAATCTGTTAGCTGATATGTTCCTTTTGTTGGCTGATATACATTATATCACATCCTATTATAGAGGATATCATCCAATTTATAGAGGATATCATTCAACTTATAGATGATATCATCTTAAGATGATATAATTTAGACAATAGAATTTATTTAATAAAAATAATTAGAAGGTCAACAATGGCATAACCACCATTGAAAGTCCCGTACTAAGCTCATGGGTATAACATAATATGCTCATTTGTCAACCAAAATACATGCATTTGTTATCAAAACGCTCACAATTCAACATACAGTCACAAAGATAATCAATTTCAACAATTATACATCACACAAAAAAGCCTCAAATCGATTTTTTTGGGCATTTTTCGAAATATTCGAGAATATCAAGCAATTATCAAACCAATTCAAGCATAAATCATGGACAAATATAATCAACAATCAACGAGTTTCTCGACGTTGATGATACTACTGCCAATAACAACGCCGCCGATGGGAGCGATCATTGGTATAAAGAAAAAAACCCGCTGGACTGACGAAACATTTGATCAGGAATAGTTTGTGTAACATATATCTCAAATCAAATGCTTCCTTAGAGTTCATCTAAAAAATTCACATAAGAGCACTACCAATGGTGAGCTAAAAATTTGCTCATGGGCATTTTGGGTGGGCATAAAATTTGATCATGCAATACAATGGTGAGCAAATGAGAAAAAGCCAAAAAATGCTCATGAGCATTTCTGAAAATGCCCAAAAATTGAGCATTTTTTTAAGATGAATAGTGCTCTGGTGGGCCCCACAATTTGCAATGGTTATATTTTTTATAATGCAAATTCTGAAATAAATATTTATTAAAAAAAAAAATTAAAATTACCAACAGTCATAAAATTTAATTCTCTATAAATAAACATGCATTTTGGTATATTTTGGTATAATTTCAGAAATACCATAAATCTTCCATATTCTTTATTTTAACGATAAAAAAGACACAAATAAAAAAAAAAAGTTACACAAATTTAGACTAGTTTTTATTTATTTGGAGTAATATTGTTAAAATATAAATGAAATTAATAAATAAAGAAGTGTTGTGAAGGAGCCAAAATTGAAAAAGTAAGAGAATGAGAGTAGTGGGCAAACATTTTTTTTTGCTCACCATTGGGAGAGAAATTGTGAAAAAAAATTTGCCCATAGGCAAAACAGATTTGTTGAGAGAGAAAGTGGGTAGAGAGATAGTGGTGGACATTTTTTTTGCTCACCGTTGAGAGTGGTCTAATAAAAGAGAGAAATGTAACATTATAAATGTTAGATTATATTTAGAACCAAACAAAATTTAATCAACAATGAGTTCATATTATCAAACTAGAAAGCATCCCCATAAACCTAAACGACTTGACGTGCCACTAATAATTACGAAGCATTATACATAATAGGTTTATATATTAGTCCTTTTTTTTTTTTTTCAAATTCTTAAATCAATGAACATAATACACAAGTACAAAGGTACTTAAAAATAATAACAAAACCAGCTCAAATTTTAGTTCGCCTAACTTTAGAAATCTGGTTGTTGAAAAACTCCTTAACCTCAGCAAACAACAACTCAGCTTCAGGCAATTCAGGAAAAACGTAAAAAGCATGAATAGCACTAGAATACTCCACCAACTTCACATCTTTCTCATTTCTTCTCAACCACTCATAATACCTCTTTTGCCAATCCTTCAACGGGTCAAACCCGCCCACAAACAACAATGTGGGCGGGTATTCGACCCCACTTATATTCATCGCATTCGGCCCACTTACATTCACGGCCCAATGATCACAGTCCAGCCCATCTGGCAAAAACGCCTTCCACAACCACTGAGTTCGATCCATTGACACAACTGGCGCACCCTCGAGTTCGACTTCCGAGTTGACTCGCTCTTTCCCGCCGAAAAACGGTTGGATGTTGACGAGTCCGATGACTTTGAGGAGAGAGAAAGTGGAGGATGATTTCGCGTAGTTTACGGCGAGGTGGTGAGCGAGGTTACCGCCGGCGGAATCTCCGGCGATGAATACGGTTGACACGTCAGCGTTTTCCGGCCAGAATGGGAGGTTTTTCCGATTTTCGGGGTTGTCGAGGAATTTAAGGACGGCAAAGGTGTCGTCGTATTGAGAAGGGAATTTGTGTTCCGGTGAGAGTCGGTATTCGACGGAGCAAACGACGGCGTTTAGTTTGCGGGCGAAACGACGGCAGACGGCGTCGTACACGTGGGAGGCGGCGCTGAGGAAGGCGAAACCGCCGCCGTGGAAGAAGACGATGATAGGGAGTGAAACGACGTCGGATTTGTGAGGGACGAAGAGGCGAAACCAGAGATTGTTGGAAGGGTCGAAAACGACGTCGTGGGTTGAGACGGAGTTGTGAGGGGTAGGATTGGGTGCGACGTGGCGGTCTAGAAGGTTCATGAGGGTGCGGTTGATTGTGCCATCTGTACGGCGGACGATGTCGGTGACGAAGTTGAGGGCTGTGATTTGGACACGTGTTTTGAAGGGTAATGAGAGGGATTTGGTGGGTGAAGGTGTGGGTGTGGTGTTGGTAGTGGTGGTTGCCATTTGAGGAGAGAGAAAGTGGGAGTGGTTGAAGAGAGAGAGACAGAGTGTGCGGTGGGAGAGAAGAAGGAAGGAAGGAAGGGAGGGAGAATTTATATGTATGAAATTATGAATTATGAATATGAATTGTGGTAGATTGGATTGTTGGATTTTTATATGGATAAAATATTGGGTACAAGTATTAGATTTAGCCAGGATTCTAGTGTTGGTTTATGCATGTTGAGTGGTGTACTCGCCTACTCGGATGCACAATGGTCATTGCTACGAGTAGTATATTATTTTTCCTTCAAATTTAACTGTTATATATATGCGTTTTGTTTGTTGAGAATTTTAAGTGAATCGGTATTTGTGATTTGTTTTGGGTGATGGGGATTAGAGGTAAACCCCTCTTTTATTTCACTATATAGGGATTGAGTTTGTGACTAGGTATGGGAAGGGATTGGATAGATATGATGAGTTTTAAAAAAAACAAATTAATCTTAAATGAATAGGATGAGATACTTAAAAAGTAAGTAGGGGTAATTTTTCCCCTAAATCGATATTTTAAGTATAATACATACCAACCATGAGAAAACACTTGTTATATTCTTAAATATCTCAGTCACCTATATTAACGAGATCTAATATTATTCCTATTCCTTATCCTAAAAGTTGCATATAAAAACCTTTATTGATTAAATTGGCATGGAGCATTATCAATATAAAATGTGTACAAATTCACACGTTAATTGGTATAATTATTGTTTCATTTAACCAACCTAAAATTTCCAATTGTGACTGATGAGGGTGCATACATTGATCGTTTATCTAAATGAATAATGAGGAAAATGATATAAAAAGCCTTAGAAACTACAAAAAGAACATATCAGAAGATAAAAACCTAGTAGAAATAATTAGTAAAATAAAACATTAGTAACAACAATCAACGAGCTTGTTTGTACTGTCATACCATTTATTAGAAAATACTCCATAAATAATGTTTATCCATGTTTATTTGCAGCCATGAAAGGGTAAGGGGAGTGAGGGGGCTACATTGCTTGTAACCCTAATCCGGAGCATTAATTGTAAATATAATTAGTTAATGATAATGGTTGTAGTATGATTATTGGGAGTTGGTTTGAAAGATGAGAAAATAAATGAAAAAAAGAGTAATGGGACTTAGAATTTGTTGGTTGTGATTTCATGCAATAGTATTCGAATTTATTATAATGGAGTCCTACATGTCATGTATTATGCTGGTTCACATTTCTTTTCGATGCCAACCAACTTGAAATCTTTTTTCTCAAGAAAATTTCCCAAAAAAGAAAAAAATACCTAACTTTTAACCCTAACTTTTCCATGTTAAGAAGACTGTTGTGCGACAGCGGAAGCAAAGGTCGTAAACAAACAAGAAAACAATAAAGAAATTCAATGCAAACAATAAGAACAACACCAAGAATTTACGTGGTTCACTATCGATGTGATAGCTACGTCCACGGGCACCGAGATCGAATGATTTCACTATAAACTGGCAAAGATTACAAAGATTACAATGAAGAACTTAATCACTCAAAGTATTCTCTCTCTTGTGTTTCTCTCTCCGTTACCCTAATAATGATAATAGGAAGTTTATATAGTAGTGATTCCTAATTAAGATATACTTAGGTTACAATATCACAATATGATAAATATTAAATTCGTAATCGCTGAAAAAACCCAGATCGCCCGGTCGGGCGAAGGCCCGCCCGATCGGGCGCGAGAACACGTCTTTTCCAACAACCGAAGTACTCCAAAAAACCCCTTCCGCCCGGCCCGATCGGGCAATGTCCGCCCGATCGGGCGAAGGCTCGCCCGGTCGGGCGAAAGCTCGCCCGGTCGGGCGCGCGAGAGCAGCTTCTTCAACGAATTTGCCAGGCACCTCTTCTTCTTCTTCCCGGTCAGACCGGGTAATGTCCGCCCGATCGGGCGGACAAAGCAACGAAGTACGAGTCACCTAATACTTATCAACAATCTCCACCTTGACGAGAACTCGTAGTCAGCAAATGACCCCATCAAGACATAGTGAAAAACATCTCAAGCCAAACCCGATGCAAGACTCATGCATAAGCCATACATCCCGATAAGTCTTCAACCAAGACCCATCACATACTCGTCTCCAAGTATAACAACTCATAATGCTCCACCTGCATCACAAGCCCCGGGCAAGCTCCACCTTAAGGCCAACACACCTACACCAGGAGCTCCCCAACTTCGCCCCTCAGGGCCTACTACATCACGTAGTAATCAATATTTAACAAGTCTAAGCAATGTTTAAACTTGCTAAACGGAACAGGCTTAGTGAAGAAATCAGCCGGGTTGTCAGCAGTCCCAATCTTCTTCACCTTAATCCTCTTGTCAGTACGTAAGAAATGATACCTGACATCAATGTGCTTCGTCCGATCATGGTGTACTTGATCTTTAGCTAAGCAAATCGCACTTAGACTATCACAATACACTGTAGCAAAATCCTGTGCAATACCCAGTTCACCTACTAGGCCTTTGAGCCAAATAGACTCCTTAGCTGCAGAAGTTAAAGCCATATACTCAGCTTCAGTAGTTGACAACGTAACTGATGACTGCAATGTAGACTTCCAACTAACCACAGAACCACCCAAAGTGAACACATAACCAGTCACAGACCTCCTGGTATCCACATCAGCTGCATAATCAGAATCACTGTACCCAGTGACCAAGCATTCCTTATCATTCCCGTACACAAGACCAATATCAGCTGTCCCTCTCAGGTAGCGAAAAATCCTTTTCACCCCTTGCCAGTGTTCCCTCCCAGGTCGAGCCATAAACCTGCTTACAACACTAACGGCATGCGCAATATCCGGCCTAGTACAGACCATAGCATACATCAAACAACCAACCGCATTTGCATATGGAACTCTAGACATATAAGACAACTCCTCCTCTGATTGAGGTGACATAGACAAAGACAACTTACAACTAACAGTAGTTGGCGTATTTATAGGCTTCGATTTTTCCATCCCAAAACGAGACAAAATCTTTTCAATGTAGCTTTTCTGAGTCAAGAAAAGCTTACCTCTAGCCCGATCCCTGTAGATCTCCATACCCAAAATCTTCCTAGCTGCACCCAAGTCTTTCATGTCAAACTCCGAGTTAAGCATCTCCTTTAATCTAGCAATATCAGATTTATTCTTTGTGGCAACCAACATGTCATCAACATATAACAAAAGATAAATCATGGAACCATTATCCAGCTTACTATGATACACACAGCAATCATATGAATTCCTGTCAAAACCTTGTGAAACCATAAAAGAATCAAACCTTTTGTACCACTGTCGGGGGGATTGCTTAAGTCCATACAATGACTTTAGCAATCTGCAGGCATAGTGTTCCTTTCCAGGAACTTCGAATCCTTCGGGCTGCTTCATCAGAATCTCCTCCTCCAAATCGCCATGAAGGAAAGCCGTTTTAACATCCAACTGCTCCAGCTCAAGATCAAAATGTGCTACAATTGACAATAACACACGGATAGAAGTATGTCGAACCACAGGTGAGAATATCTCAACAAAATCAACCCCTTCTACCTGACTGAACCCCTTAGCAACTAGCCTAGCCTTAAAACGTATTTGCTCAGTTTCCGACAACCCTTCTTTCTTCTTGTAAATCCATTTACAACCCACAAGCTTCCTCCCTTCCGGTACTTTTACCAGTTCCCACACTCTGTTCTTGTAAAGAGACTGCATCTCTTCACCCATTGCGGCAAGCCATTGCGCAGACTCACTACAACTAATTGCTTGTTTATATGTGGCAGGTTCAAATGACTCTACATCATCAGCTACACTCAATGCATAACCTGTCATCGCATCAACACAGCAATTTCTTCCCTCCATCTCTTCAATCAATCTAACAGGCTTCTTGATAACTCGTTTAGGCATCTCAAGAATGGTGTCAGGTTGACTAGATGACCCCTGATTAGATTGCTCCACCTCATCCCCAGAGTTAGAATGAGTAGGAGTAATCTCAGGTTCAGGAGTACCCGGCACTGGAACATCAGCATCATCATCAATATATTGTACCCGAGGTAAATCAGCAATGGTCGACTGATGTACCTCAAGTACCCCATCTGTCTGTAATAAATTGTCTCCTTCCCTTCTCAAATCTGAAATCTCTGCATTTTTAATTGAATACATGGTGTTTTCATCGAAAGTAACATCCCTACTAAGAATGACCCGACCCTCCGAAGGTGAAAAAATTCTAAACCCCTTCACACCATCCCCGTACCCAACAAAACACCCCTTCTTGGCTCGTGGATCCAGCTTACCCTCAATAACATGATAATAAGCAACACAACCAAAAATCTTCAAATTCGAAAAATTAGGCAACTTACCACTCCAGATCTCAAACGGAATCTTGGAATCAATTCCAGAATGAGGACCCCTATTAATGACATAACAAGCTGTTAACACAGCTTCACTCCAGTACCTCCTCCCAAGCCCTGCATTAGAGAGCATGCATCGAACTCTCTCTAGCAGTGTCTGATTAACCCGTTCTGCTACACCGTTCTGCTGTGGTGTCTTCCTGACAGTATGATGCCGACCTATACCCTCATCTGCACAGAACTGATTAAACTCGTCTTTGCAAAGCTCTAGCCCATTGTCCGTTCGTAGCTTCTTGATCTTCCTTCCTTGTCGATTTTCCACCAAAGCTTTCCATTGCTTGAAAACTTTGAAGGCCTCATCCTTTGACTTAAGCAACCTAAGCCATGTGTATCGGGACTTGTCATCAACAAATGACACAAAATAGTGGTAACCTCCCATACCTTCAACTCTAGATGGACCCCAGCAATCTGAATGGATGTAATCGAGCACTGCATCAGTAATGTGAGCACCCTTGCTGAACTTTGACCTGTGTTTCTTACCAAACACACAATGCTCACAAAATTCAAGGTTGGCAACCTTGACCCCGGATAGAAGACCCCTCTTGGACAATAGCTGCATCCCCTTCTCCCCCATATGACCAAGCCTCATGTGCCAAATCTTAGTCATCTCCTGGTGAGATACAGATGCGCAAACCGCAGAACTAGGCAGTGTAACACCCTCAAAAACATAGAGGGTGTTCCTTTTGATACCCTTAAGTACCAACTCAGAACCTCTGAAAATACACAACTCCCCATCTGAAAACACACCATTGTACCCCAAGTCATCCAGGGTACCCAATGAAATCAGATTCTTTCCTAAAGCAGGAACATGCCGTACATTAGTCAAAGTTAACCTCCGCCCATCAACAGTCCTCAACCTCATGGAACCAATACCTGTGACCTTACATGGAGCATTGTTACCGACTATAACCATACCCCCATTGCGAGGTTCATATGTATCAAACCAATCTCGACGTGGACACATATGGAACGAACACCCCGAATCTAGAACCCAGTTATCAGATAAATCATCAGACCTAGCAGAACTGACTAATGCTAAATCTTCCTCTGAATTATAGCTCTCATTCGGTTTCTCTTCAACTACAGCAGCCTGGGACTTGTTTTTCCTCACCGGACAATTATTCCTAAAGTGACCCGGTTCTTTACAGTAATAACATGTTTTAGTAGTAGTTTTACTAGATCCATCCTTGCCGTTTCCAGCACCCGACCCAGCATTGTTCCCCTTGTTAAACCCCTTATTCTTTTTAGACTTTCCGGACTTAACAAACAACCCACTACCATTATCCCCATTATCACTCGTAGCTTTCATTCTGAGTTCCCTAGTATGAAGTGCTGCCTTCACTTCTTCTAAGGTTATAGAATCCTTACCAACAACAAAAGACTCTACAAAATTCTCAAAGCTAGACGGTAGAGATACAAGTAAAATCAACGCAGCATCCTCATCATCAATTTTAACATCTAAATTACGTAAATCAAGCAAAATAGAGTTAAGTTTTTCTAGATGTTCCCGTAAGGAAGTACCTGACTGCATCCGGAGGCTAAACAACCGCTGTTTCAGTAATAATTTGTTGGTCAACGACTTAGTCATATACAATGACTCCAGCTTCAGCCACAATCCAGCCGCCGTTTCCTGATCAGCCACCTCCGTGATGATTTGATCATCAAGACTAAGTAATATGGTAGAGTGTGCCTTCTCTTCCATAACTTCTAACTGCGAGTCAGTCGGTCCGTCTCCTGACTCCGAAGTAGTACTCTTTGGAGCCAACGGACGCCATATCTGCTGTTGTTTTAACAGAGCCTTCATCTTAATTTGCCATAGCCCGAAACTATTTTTCCCGGTAAACTTCTCAATTCTTATTGTTGAATCTCCTGCCATTGTTATCTTCAAGAAACTCTCCAAGGATTGAACCTGAGCTCTTGATACCAATTGTTGTGCGACAGCGGAAGCAAAGGTCGTAAACAAACAAGAAAACAATAAAGAAATTCAATGCAAACAATAAGAACAACACCAAGAATTTACGTGGTTCACTATCGATGTGATAGCTACGTCCACGGGCACCGAGATCGAATGATTTCACTATAAACTGGCAAAGATTACAAAGATTACAATGAAGAACTTAATCACTCAAAGTATTCTCTCTCTTGTGTTTCTCTCTCCGTTACCCTAATAATGATAATAGGAAGTTTATATAGTAGTGATTCCTAATTAAGATATACTTAGGTTACAATATCACAATATGATAAATATTAAATTCGTAATCGCTGAAAAAACCCAGATCGCCCGGTCGGGCGAAGGCCCGCCCGATCGGGCGCGAGAACACGTCTTTTCCAACAACCGAAGTACTCCAAAAAACCCCTTCCGCCCGGCCCGATCGGGCAATGTCCGCCCGATCGGGCGAAGGCTCGCCCGGTCGGGCGAAAGCTCGCCCGGTCGGGCGCGCGAGAGCAGCTTCTTCAACGAATTTTCCAGGCACCTCTTCTTCTTCTTCCCGGTCAGACCGGGTAATGTCCGCCCGATCGGGCGGACAAAGCAACGAAGTACGAGTCACCTAATACTTATCAACAAAGACTTTGCAGTAGAAAACGTAAAAACCCATCCATGCAATGTAGGCATGTAGCTAATACAGTGAGTCAGTGACATATATTTTGACTAAAAATAATAGGGCACCTCATCAAATTAACCATTATGTTACAACTTATATTGAACAAAATATACTCTAGTATCAGTGGCGGATCCAGGATTTTCAATTCGGGGGGACAAAATGCTTAACTTACAAATAGCTTAACAAAAAATAAAAACAAAAAAAAACTCAAACACACAAATTAGTTAATACTTAATATTAAAATTTCAAAATAAAAAACATACTTAGTCATACAATTCAAATGATGAAAAAAATTACATAAACATTACATTAAAATTACACTTTCATCCTTCGAGTCTTCATATTTTGGAAGCGATCAACAATTTTTTCATCGGAAACTCTTAGGAAGACATCCTTCTCAATAAAAGTGACCAAACAATCATTCATAAGTTGATCACCCATGCTATTTCGCAACTTATTTTTGACACATGTCACTGCGGAAAAGACTCTTTCAACACTTGTCGTGGCAACCGGAAGAATCAACATCAACTTGATAAGCAAATGAATAAGAGGAAAAGTCTTATGCTTATTAGTTTTAACAAGCATCATAGAAAGAGAGTTAAGGTCATTTAAACCTTGAAATCTATCATCATTTAGCATATTCTCCATGAATATATCAAGTTGACATTCAAGAGCCATCAAATCAAAGCTTGAAAATTCTTCGGGATAAAAAGAGGCAAGTTTAAGTACCTTATCTTTATCAAAGGATGAGAAGTTATCTTTAGGACTTAAACAAGCCATACATATTAGTATCTCCATATTCCTCTCATTAAATCGATCATCAAGTTCTTGAAGATGCAAATCAATCACTCTTACAAAAATTCCAACCCGAAAATGATGTTCATTTGTTGCTTCTTCAACAAAACGTCTTGATCTTCCTTGAGGAACATAAGGAGAATCCATAGTGGGAACAACAATACCATGTTTAGCACAAAATGAAGTTACCTTGTTTAAGAGAGTATCCCATCCTTGCTCCCTCATTTTTTGCAACACCAATTTTGTGTAAGTGACAAGTTCCATGGCATTTACAATATCTTGCTCCTTTCTTTGCAAAGCAACACACAAATCGTTAGTGTAACCAAAAATAGTCAACATCAAGTGAGCAATAAAAACAAAGTCAAATGACTCTAACTGTCCTAAAACAATTTGAGCTTTGAACTTATCTTCCGATACACCATGCTTCCCAATGTGTACAAGTACCTTAACAATTGTAGGAAATAAGAGGATGATGTTTGAAATAGACTTGTAATAAGAACTCCAACGAGTATCCCCGGGCCTTTTCAAACCAAGTTCTTGATTTAAACCCGATCCACTCACAATATCCCCTACATCCAATGCTCGAGCAACTTCTTCAGCTTGATCTTGTCGAATCATTTCTCTTCTTTTGCAAGAAACTCCAACCACATTCAATAAATTTGCAAGTATCTCAAAAAGCCAACCACAACTATCATTCTTTTTAGCAACGGCAACTAGTGTTAGTTGAAGTTGATGAGCAAAACAATGTACGTAGTAGGCACTTGGAGTATCATTCATAATCAAAGTCTTAAGACCATTTATTTCACCTTTCATGTTGCTAGCTCCATCGTACCCTTGCCCCCTTATCATAGATGGACTCAATGAATGTTCAACAAGTAAAGACATGATTGCATCTTTAAGAGTTAAAGCGGTAGTATTACCAACATGAACAATGCCTAAAAATCGCTCCATTACCTTTCCACTATCTCTATTAACAAAGCGCAAAACAAGAGCTAGTTGTTCTTTTTGGGACACATCACTTGACTCATCGGCTAATATGGCAAAGTAATCATCACCAACTTCTTCTATTATGCACCTAGTTGTTTCTTTGGCACAACAATTAATAATGTCCTTTTGAATAGAAGGGGAAATCATTTGACAATTTTTAGGTGCTTTTTCAAGAGTATGTTGTCTTACTTCCTCAACCTTTTCTCCTAACCATTTCAAAAGCTCAAGGAAATTACCCCTATTATATGACTCCCCGCTTTCATCATGTCCACGAAATGCCAAACCTTGCCCCAAAAGAAACCTTAAACAAGTTAAAGATGCATTCAAGCGGATAAAATATTCACTTTTAATCACCTCACTTGCATTGTCAAACACATTCAAGATTGATTTTTTTTTTTCCATCTCTTAAATTCACATATTTCTCATAAGCAAGATTATGAGCACTGTTAATTCCACCAACATGCTTCTCAAATCTTTCCGGTTTATTCCATGTCCTAAACCCTCCATCAACAAATGCATCACCCCCCGAATAACTATCAACTTCATTCTTGAACAAGTAACATACAAAACAAAATGCAGCATCTTTTTCAATACTATACTCAAGCCAATCCCATTTCTTGAACCAATGAACACTAAAGCGACGTAAACCAGACACTTGTCTTTGAGGAAAGTCATGAGTTTTTGGTTGGCAAGGTTTTTTAAGAATATAACCCCTCCTAACTGCATTTCGTTCATTTGCGGGGTAATCCATTATGTTTATTCTTTTTCCCGGATCATGAGGAAGAAGTTCAACATCGTATACCAAATTTTCCTCCAATGGTACATTACAAGTACTTGAACCACCCATTTCCATATCATCTTCTTGACTTTGAGGGGGGCTTAATGAAGGGGAGTTATTTGACTCATTTTCATGGAGTTTCTTTCTTTTAGACAAGAATTGTCGAAGATCGGGTTGTTTTCTAGTAGCCTTGGATTTGTTTGAATTAGGTGAATCATTTGACATTTCCTAATTACATTAAAAAATATATATCAATTATTCAATTTCGGAATTTCCACAATTCACATCATTGCATAAATGCATACTATAAAACCTAACATTAAAATTGCAATTAAAATTAAAATTCAACAAATATTGCAATTAAAATTAAAATAATTCAACAAAAATCTGGAAATTAGGGTTAACAATTGGTGAATTGGGGATTTCAAATTAACAAATTGGGAATTTCGAAATTCGAATTAGGGTTAGCAACTTAGCAAGACATACCATAAGTTTAGCAGCGACTCAGCGAGTGGTGAGGAACCCAGGGGCCAAGGCGGACAGGCGGTGGTCGGTGGAGCAGCGAGCCAGTGACGCCTGACGCACTCACGCACGCACCTGCAGCGAAGACTGAAGATGGAGCACAGCCGCACAGGAGCAGCGACGCACCACGCACGCACGAAGCCTCGACGGTCGCCGGTTGGTGGAATGGTGGAGCAGCGACGCAGTGGACTAGTGGAGTAGTGGTAATGGCGAATTGGAGTGAAGATTGAAATGGAGCTGCGATTTGTTTTGCTTTTTTTTTTTTTTTTTTTTTTTAATTTTTTTTTTTAAATTGGGGGACAGCTGTCCCCCCATGTCACTTAATTGGGTCCGCCCCTGTCTAGTATAGTACGAAGTAGTATTTAAGTTTGACACGAAGTAAAAAAAAAATTTACTTGGGCTCACTCAGCTTGAGGTCGGTTGGACCTAGCCTTGGTAGTAGGTCCGCCTCAAGATAGTGTGGTGGATGCTAGCTAGTTGTCATAGTAGTCTAGTATAGTACATACGGAGTAAATAAAAATTTACTTGGGGTTCACTTGGGGTCGATCGGACCTAGCCTTGGTGGTTGGTCCGCCTCAAGATATATAGTGTGGTGGATGCTAGTTGTTGTAGTAGTTTCACTAGTTTGACTAATTTTCATTGCTTGAAATTTGTGACAAGATGATACTTATATCAAGTAATTGTTAATTTTTCACGTCAACTCATTGACATATACAAATCCTAGGTTGAATGCGTAAATATTTTAATAAAATTATTTATCTTTCAAGTGCTACTTCAAAATAAAAGTACCAATATTTTTTCATTATTATTTATTTATTTTGAAATTGACACACCATTTATCATGGTGATGAACCGGTGACAGGTCCACAAGAGTATAGGGTAGACTGTAGAGGTGACAAAAAAAAAAAAAAGGTATCACATGAAAATATGGATTTTATTTATTTATTATTATTATTATTTTTTTAATAAGGATGAAATTTGGCATAAAATATTTTAAAATTACGTAGATAAAAAATGTAAGGATGGGAAGTGAAGCCGTTTTAGCTTTGTAGGGAGGTGAGTGATGACTCTGATGAGTCTTGTTAGCGTTCTGTTTTTCTCATAGTACGTTTAAATTGAATTTTTTTGGCTTGCAGCTTGTTAGTTGTATAATCCCAATTTGCTACCTCTTTAATTGGTTTGTTTTTTAGAAGGTAGAATTCATTTGAACTACTTGTTTCTATATTTGTGAGCCTTGCGTTAATGATAGAATAAAAAAAGTTAGTTGGTTCACTTTGATGAGAAGGAGGTGACTTGGTGAGTGAAGGAACGGGTGGGATTAGAATTGGATGCTGTAAAACTTATCTTGTACAAAACTTATAATTAGACTTGTATACTTTGTTTAGATCGAAGGAAATAGAAGGAAGAGAAAGGGAGGGGGATAAACTCTCTTGTTTGGGTAAATGATTGAGGTAAGGAAGGAAAAGGAGAGGGAGGGATCCATTTTCCTTCTCTCTTTAATAAGCATAATCCCTCCTAAATTAAAAAGATTTGGAGGAAAAATGGAGGTCCCCTCCCTTTCTTTCCCCTGTCCTTCCTCGTATTTCCCTCCCCTTCCTTCCTTTTCTTATTTGCTATCCAAACGAAGCGGTAAAGTTGTAGTAATTAGACTTGTAAAGTTGTAATTAGACTCAAATCATATTAGATTTTCCTCTATTCGACTTAAATTCTAAATTATTTTGGAGTGTCCGACGACTGTCATCTGTGCTCTTACTTTGCCTCAACTCTTTAATTCATGCTAGTTATACTAATCGTGTGCAGCAACATGTTACGGTCTTACGGAGCACTTCATTTTCTCCGTTTGACACTACTAGAAAACAGCCAATCAACGACGGAAAAAATCCGTCAGAAAACCCTGAAATTCCGTCGGAAGGCACCGTCGCATTACATGTCGTAGGAATTTCGCGATATTCCGAGGGAAATTCCGTCGGAAAGGTCCATTCCGACGGAATAGCTTCTCTCGGAGTCCAGTTTGACTTAAATGGATATTCCGTCGCAAGATTCCGACGGACCATTTTCCGTAGGTACAGGATAGGTTCCGACGGAATTTTTCCGTCGGAACGGGTCCACCTTCCGACGAAATATTTTCCGTCGGAAAGTACTTTACAAAAAAAAAAATGGGGTTTCCACCACACCCACCACCCCAGCGCCACCACACCTGCCTTACCCATCCCCTGCCCCCCCTACGCACTCATACCCTCGCCCCCCTACGCACCCATACCCCCTGCCCCCCTTACCCATCCCTAAACCTGGGCACGGGCCGGGTTGGCCCGCGTGCCGCCCGGCACGGCCCGCCGTTCGGCGCAGCCCGGCACGGCCCGAAGTCAAGCACGGCACGGCACGAAGTTCAACTTTCGTGCCACGGGCCGTGCCACGGACACGGTGGAGAATTCCCAGGCACGGCCCGGCACGAGCACGGGCATGGCCCGCCGTGCTGGCCCGCAGGCACGGCCCGCGGGCCAACGGCTATAAAACGGCTATAAACGGCTAGTTTTTTGCCAAAAATTCTATAAATACTCACCTCCATTTCATTCCCAAATCACAAAATCACAATCTCTTCTTCTTATCTCTTATATTCTCTAAATCTCTAATAATCCTTATTTTCTTAAATTCTCTAATTATTCTCTTAAATTCTCTAATTATTTTCCTAATATCGGAAAAAATTAAAAAGTTCGTAATCGTAATTAGTGGAGCGTTGAAGCACGGTTGTAAGATCTAAACTAATCTTAAATTTATTATTGTTTTATTGTTATTATTAGAATAATCTTGTTTAATTATTATTGTTGTTAATTTTTATTGTTGTTGTTATAATTGTTGTTATTAATTATTATTATTGTTACAATTGTTGTTATTATTTATTTTTGTTGTTATTGTTATTGTTATAGTTGTTGTTATTAATTATTATTATTGATATTTTTATTGTTAAAATTGTTGTTATTAATTATTATTATTATAGTTAACCACTTTTTATTAAAAAATTAATTGTTAATTATGGCATCGAGTAACCTTAACTGTAGAGTATCTTTAACAGCCGATTCTTGGGATAGTGGTTATAAATATCACTATTTATGTGTGACTTGCCATTGGGTATATGATCAATGGATGTTACAAAAAAGAATAATACATTTCAAAATGCTGGAATACCCACACACCGGCATTAACATTGCTCACCATTTAATGCAAGCAATAGACGAATACAACCTTCGAGATAAAATGATGTCTATGACTTTTGATAATGCAACCTCTATGACATACACAGCTAATCTTATCAAACAAAACTTAACCGATGTACTATTAGACGGTGAAGCTCTTCATACTAGATGTGTTTGCCATGTACTTAACTTATGTGTACAGGATGGAGTTCGGGCAATTGGCCCATACTACAGCAAAATCAGAGATGCTATTATGTCTATTAATAGCTCTAACATGAGATACCAAGAATGGAAGAGTTTTCTAAAACAACAAAAGATAAGGGTAATAAAAATTAGAACCGATTGCCCAACTAGGTGGAATTCCACCTATGACATGTTAACAAAGGCAATTGAGTACAAGGGCCCGTTAACATTATTTTACAACCAAAAATTTCCACAAAATGCTTTGTATGATGATGATTGGAATAACTGTGAAAGATATATGCAATTTTTACAGTTATTATATAACATGACGTATTGTTTTTCTACTGTTTACAATCCTTGTGCTCAAAACTTTCTTTCTAATGCATGCTTACTCGCCCAACTTTTCGCTGATCATCGCGATCAAAGTGATTATGATCAGTATCTTCCAGCAATGGAAAAAAAGTGGCGTAAATATTATAGTGAGATTCCTTTGATTTATATTTTTGCTTCCATATTAGATCCTAGGCAAAAGTTTGAAAACACATTTATGTTAGTTGACATTTACTTTCAATGCATGTTTCTTGACGATGATGTAGAAAACTATAAGACTAATGTGAAGGATCAGTTTTTTGCTTTATATAGAGTCTATGAAGCCAAATATGGCACCGTTCCTCGCTCAGGGCCTTCCCAACCATCCAAAAAAGTAAGTAAGAAGGCCAAACATTTATTTTCACAAGCTACTAACTTGATTTCAAGGTTTTCAGGTGATTCATCAATCAGGAGAACGCAAAGCGACGTCTCGGAGTTGCAGATGTACCTGAGTTACGACTTCACCAAAGGCATGGACGACGATGAGATAAACAGCCTCGACCTCCTTGCATGGTGGAAACAACAAAGCTCGAAGCATCCAACTTTGGCGGCAATGGCACGAGACATTCTTGCTATCCAAGTTTCCTCCGTCGCCTCCGAACGAGCTTTCAGCGCATCCGGAAGGGTTTTAGACGATAGAAGAACAAGTCTAAAACCCGAAACACTAGAAATGTGCGTGTGTTTCAAAGATTGGTTGGATGCGGAAAATCGCTCACAAGACCGTTCTTACGACCACAACGACAACGAAGAAGGAACCTCCGCTTCCGGTTCGGGTTCGGCTAGTTCCCAATCTATGCAACTAGCCGATGACCTTGAAGGCGAAGGCGAAGACGAAGACGAAGACGAAGACGAGCAAGAAGAAGGAGAAGAAGAATAGACAATTATTGTATATTGTACGATTTTAAAAATATCAAATTTATCATTTTCCAATTTTTGTTTAATACCATCATTGTATGATTT